TGTTGCCAGCTTTCTAGTATAGGATAAAATTTTAAGTTTCCAATCGATAGAAGTCATAGAACTAATTGGATTTCTATACAAAATTTAAAATTGTACAAACCCCGTCTTGATACTAGGGTCCACTTCTTATTTTTATAATTTGAAGCAGTCAGTTTCTCCTTATAATCCAAAGAAATGTTGTACTATTTTATATATTTGAAGTTAAAATTGCAGCTGATATGGCAATTGCAAGTTAATTATGAAATACTGAGAGTTTGTGGACTTGTATCACACTCCAAAACTAAATGTGGACTCTAATTGTGGTTGATCTTTCTCTAAGGTCATGATTGGCAACCATAAGCTAGCTTATTTTTTGAGTTTATTGAATAAGCCACTTCAAGTAGTGTTTCAATAAACTCCAGGGGCTTTTCTCCAATTATGTCTCTTATATTTTTCCAATTAATTTTTCAACATGTCCTATTAGGTCATTTTACATTGTCATCTAGCTTATCAGCTAGTTTTACCGAATATAACTAGTTTATCGGCTAACAACTAGCTTATTAACCAACATCTAGCTTTTTACATGACCATGACTGGTTTTATCCTGTTTGTTTGAGATGGATGTAATACTGTCATACCTCAGCTTGGTGAAAGAGGGGGTGTAAATTGTAGTGAGAGCCGAATCACGCATGAAAACTGTGACATTTGATGCTGAACTTAATTTTTTGAATTTCTTGTTATGTTCAAAAGACCCTGTACTTCAATTCTCATCAACAAATTTGATCCGGCGATGCTGCTAGATTTCACTTCAATTTATTAAAAGCCATGGTAATTTTGAATTTTTGTTTCTTTGTACAGAGAGATGGTCAATACCGAATTGACAATCAGGCCACTCCAACCATGCTAAACAGCCTCATGTACAAACTATCCTATTTCAGGTATGGTAATTTCAAATACAGAACTTTGGGGTCTTGAATTACTGTTAGTTGTTTGCTTCTATTAGATCGCTTGGGTTCAACTCAAAGCAATTGGCTATGAGTGGATTTGGCTGACAATCATGTATTCGTCACAAAATTGTGGATTATTGGTCTTGCAACACCCCCCGCCCCCTCAAACTTACATGTGTCAAACATCTAACACATATACATATATATCTATACTGATATACATAGAGTGGGAGGTTCACATAAGAAGGATAAATATCATGAGAAGGTAAGAAGGAAAGGTTCATATGTGAATCATCAAAAATATACATTTGAAGCTACATAAATAGATTTTTTTAAAAAGATTTTTCTAATGATTCACATATGAACCTTCCTTTCTTACCTTCTCACTATATTTATGCATTGTTTGGCAAACATAAGCTAGCTTATTTTTTGGGTATGTGTTTGGATGAACATAAGCTAGCTTTTAATTTATGTAATTTATTTTTTTTATTGTAATTTAATTTAAGTTTAATAATGAAATAATTTATTTTTAGTTTAATATTATAAATTTTATAAAGATAATAATTAAGTATTCTGTTAGAATTCAATAATTATCCTAATTATATTTTAGATTTTTTATATTTAAAATGAGATGTTTATCCTGTATTTGATAAAATAAGATATGGATGAAATCGGATAGGGATGAAATCGTTTAGGGATGAACGGGTTTAGGGATGGCTTTAACAGGTTGTACCATTAGCAATAGATGTTGTCTTTAAGAGTTTTAAGAGTTTAAGAGTTTAAGAGTTTTTAAGAGTTTTAGCCAAATGCTTTATAATATAGTATATATATATATATATATAGTGAAGGTAACCTCGTTTATATTGTGTGACAGTTTATCATGAGAAATGTGAAGATACCTTTACGTCGTGAAGGTTACAACATTCACACAAAATAATACACCCTTCCAATACATAGTTGGTGACGTGAAAAGTTACAATCTTCACACAATATAACATAACATTCACACAGTAACATAAAGGCAACTTCACTTGTTCTCACCTTCTCACGAGAGTGAATGTTTCTCAAACGATCCTGACTTTACATACATATACACCATAAGTTTCACTGTAGGATCATTAATCTAAACCGTTCTTGTTTCGTAAGTGAGTTGCTTTTGTAATCTAGGTTTGTGGAGACCGATGGTGGTAAAGGATACGATAGAGTAAGGAGGACCGAAATTGGAAAGAAGTACTTCAAGTTAACTCATTTTGAGGAGGTAAGTCAAAGCAAGCCTCAAATTCGGTATTTAGTGCTTAAACTTCGTTTTTGCTTTGACATCACCTTCTTGTTGACCCATCTGGATTTATCGAAATTCTCATCATATGTAGGTTTTCACAACTCATCATTGGATGGTTCGGATCTATAAACTAAAACCTCAAAAGAACAGGATCCGAGGGAAGACGACAAAGAAATCTAAATCGGTACAATACCCCCAAAATTTTCATCTCATTTCATATTCCTTTTGCCATGCTTTTTGACCACACACTTGGTCTACACGGAAACAAGCAAACTACTACTTGACGTAGAGATCAAGTCTGCTTACATCCCATCTCTAGACCCTAATTTCAAGTGGGATTTTACTGGACCAATTTGGTTCAATTGGGTTCTCTTTGACCAACTTTCGGTCTTTACGGAAACAACCAAACTATTCTTTAGAGTAGAGGTCAAGTCTACGTACATGAGCCTACTTTGGTTTGGTTTAGTTGGGTTGTTTTTGACCAACTCTTGATGCATTTGGTTTGCAGAAAAGTAGCTCGGGCACTCCGACAAGTGGAACAAGAAAGAAAAATCCATGGCATTAGATGAGATGAGTTTGTGGGTTGGTTTACAAATGTTAGATGTTGTGCTGGCAGTTTTATTTATAGAAATGGCTGTGCAGTGCTTGAAATCAAAAGGTTTTGTAGCGAATTGTGAAGGTGGAGGAGAGGAGGATATCGTCAACTTTTTGAACCACACTACTAAAAGAAACCATTAGATCTGATCCTAACATTTTTCTATTCTTCTAGTATTATGATTAACGCATTGCAGGTCAAAATTTTTGCCCATCAAAATTGAAAAATGCCATTTTTCATGCCCAACATTCATCAGGTTTTTTCATAGTTAGAAGTTGATTGTGTATGGTAAAAACTAGTAGATAAAATGGTCTAAAAAATATAATTTGGAAACAAGTTTTTACCAAGCTATTTAAAGTAGTTTTTAAAAATTTTATTTTGATACTTAAGATGTAAAGTTTTAAACTGGTAAGTATCCGGATAATCATCGGTTGCAACATTAACTGGTTACCATGTTTATGTAGCGAGTGATGTGGTATCTGATTAATGCTTTAGCAAATAATACTGAGTTGGATACTATATCACTCGTCATATTAGCATGTTAATCGGTTAACATTTCAACTGGTTACTCAGGTACTTAAATATTTAAAATTTTACATCTTAGGTATTAAAATGAAAGTTAGAAATCAAGTTATAGTACATTCTTTTTTCATGCAATTTGCACTTTTAAAAAAGCTATTGTATGTGTTATCAGATAACTAGTTTTTTGTAATAAACTTATAGATATCAAATATGAACTTTATCCTTTGGTATCGTACCATATTAAATTTTTGTTTCTATAACAATTTATAATTAATCAACCATATTTTTTCATTAAGGTGGTGTTTGTTTTCTAAAAATTGTTTGAAATTTGAAACCTTTTTTTTTTTTATTGATAAGAGATGGTGTTAAAGTCTAAAATATGAACCAATTAAACTGTTTATTTTTGTAAACTGACAAACGTTTGAATGTGTATAATTATTTATTTTAACCCCTCAAAATGTTATGTTGTTGAATTTATAAAAACCATCAACTCGTTTTAATTAAAATTCAAATAAAATACATAAGTATGTAAAATGTAATCTGAAAACTACAAGGGTGGTGTCTGATTGGTTTGAGCTACAAAAAAAAACAACTAATTTTATATTAAAGAACTTCACAAACCAACTTCCAAAAAACCCTAAAAATCATACACAAATCCAATATCTCAAAACTTTTGTATAAATTCATTTAAAAAATAATAATACAAATCCAAATCCCTAAAATCAAATCCTTAATGATTCTAAAAAATCAAACCCTAAATCCCTCATATGAAAAGGGGAATTAGGGTTTTTTATTAATTTTATTTATGATTTAAACTTTTGATTTTGAGATTTTTATTTAAATTGGAGAGTTTCTTCTTGTGTTTTGATTTATGGCAGGGACTAATTCCATAATAAACCCCATAAAACAGGGACCAAAACTATAAAATTTTCTTTAATTTTTTTTACTACCCATGTAAGCTTTTTTTTTTCTTTCTATGCCACATCATTTGAAGATAATCGTTTGTCTACCAAACAGGTAATCGAGACCCTTTAATAAATGAAGAGTCTCTTCTAAACCTTAAAATGATAGTTTTGAAAGGTCATTCCTCAAAACAGGAATCAACTCAAAGTTGGTTTCATTTTGTTGAAATTTTCTCCCTTTTTATAAGTTATATTTTTTTTTATTAACCTGGATATCCAACCCGCTATGCGAGCTGGCTGATCCCAGAACAACCACCTGCTTTGCAAATAGTCTGGAGTCACCGCATTTAATACCTCCGTGGCCACAAAGAGATTTTTATTTCTCATTCGATTTGAACATGAGACCTCCTAGTACTTTTGATCTTTGGAGCCAAGTTCAAACCAGTCAGACACCACCCTTGTAGTTAAGTTCTAAATATTTCATATCAATGTTTTTATTTCTTTTTCAGTTTTATTACTTTATATAAATTTAATTTGTTCTACTACGATATTATCCAAAACACTAACGCCTTAGAAAGTATATACATATCTCTAAATATACAACGCCTTAGAAAACACCATGAAAAATGCCTCCCCACACATAACCTTGACTAAGATTCAATAAAACTTCTTACTAAAATCAGCAATTTATGTTTAAAAAAAAAATTCACAAAATACTTGTAATCATATGCACATGTGAATAAATGGAAATAAAACAACACAAGTAAAAAAAACTTGTTGAAATATGAAAAACATCATATCATAAAAGCATTTAAAAGATCATCAAAAATGGAAGCTCAAAAAGGAGAAAAAATAGCAAAGGGTTTCTACCAAAGAAAGCAAAGAAGCTTTGAGTTCAAAATTCAAAGAGTGACCTTTTGGTTCACATTCACCTAAGCACAAGGATTCATATCTAATCTCGTGTTCCGAATTCTAATTCATTTTACCGATCAGCTCGTTAATTTGATCCTCACGGTTCCCAGAATCACCGCCATCCCTGAACGGTCTTTTCTTACCCTGCAACGCCTTCTCCGGCTTGTTCAGACTGAACGGACACAAAAAATTGCAAACCTCCTTGAAATGTGGGCCCACGTTCGCAATCTCTTTTACGATGTCTTCTATGCATATAATTCCATGCTCACTCAGTGCCTGCCGAAATCAACAACTTGTCTGAATATCTAAGATCTTAAAAAAGAGCACAGAAACCATAAATAAAAAACACGTCATACCTGTTCGATTATGTTATTATCCGTCAAAGGAAATATCTGTTTGTTAACTTTTGCTAAACCCTTCTTGTATATCAGCTCATTCACGCTCTTGAGGTTTGGATACCTTTAGAAAGTCGAAAACAGCAGGTTTAGAATATTATCACCATAATAAATAGCATAAACAGATAGCCTAGATTATACAGTGATATATATATATATATATAGGGTTGGGTTCACATAAGACCAACCTGTTTTCGTGAGACCACTTTTTTACACTTGAAACTTCACAGCAAAACGCTGTGAAGGTATATAACTTTAAAACATAAAGACATAGAGACAATATTCAATGGACTCTACACCAACAAAAATTGAAAACAAATATAATTTTTAACAAAAGTTAATGAAGTTCTTTTTGGTAATCGTGGGTGTCCAGCCAGCTAGTAGGTACCTCGACTAAAGCTATAAGGCGACAAAGATAACAGTTAGGAAAATCCCTAATGTCCCTCAAACAGGTGACCTATAGCGAAGAGCCCAAGGCTGAGCCATTATTTGCCAGTTGAGCACTTGGATCTGTGACTTAGGGCCTGTTTGTTAGCAGCTTATGAACTTAATGGGGCTCACAGCTTATTCGCTCAGCTATACATGACTGCTTGGTAGTGGTTTAATGATATAGAAAGTGGCTTAATGATATAGAAAGTGGCTTATTCAGTAAGATTCTAAGGGGGAGCTTTACGTAGAAAGCTAAGTTTTTTTCAAACTTGCTCCTTCCAATTAAAAAGCACACTTCTTACATCTATGAGAAAACCCTCCCAAACAAAATTTTCCGAATCTATACAGACAGATTAATCCACACAAACATCTTTATTCATAAAGGACTTAATGGAAAACCAACCAAACAGCCCCTTACCCGTAAGTCACATACGGCTCCACTTTCTGTAGAATTTCTAATATTCTGTCATTTGCTTTGACAAAAACACCACTGAACATTCTTCTAAGTCTCAGAGAGTACAAGTGTTTCCTTGTTTGTGGATGCATGTCGCTTTTACTGAAAAAACACAAGAAGTAAGCAACAATACACAAAACACAAGGACTACAATTTCACAGATATCATCATTGGTGACAGACCCCTGTATACGGATGACAAAAAGAAGCTTTGAATGCGGGAACATGGATGCTTTTATTGCTCGTTTTCCCCGATGTTTCATTTTGATGAGATCAGACTCCTGAATAAAAACCTCTGTTAGTTATACTAAAACTAAAAAAAATGTTGAGCAAAGAAATCATCAGATAAGTATTAGTTAGCTCAAGTTAATATGTGTTGGTCCTTTAAGGCTCTTTTTTGCAAACTAAGCTAGCTCATAAACCAGTCACATTTGGTAAAAACTAGCTAATAAGCTATATGACTGTGTAATATGACATAAAAAAACATGTTGATTTCCATACGGGGTAGAATCGAAAAAAGACATAGGAAAAAGCCATCGGAGATTAGTGAAATGCTACTTGAAGTAGTTTTTCAAAAGCCATCTTATGGATAACCAAACGAGCTTTTTTCAATTAGCTCAAAGAATAAGCTAGCTTATGGTTGCCGACCATGGCCTAAGAACACACACACACATATATATATATATATATATATGTGTGTGTGTGTGTAGACGAAGGATCATGTGAGAATAGGAATAAAGATGAGAAGCGTAAGAAGGGATCTGAACCCCTCATCACTTTTAATCTCACCCCTACCCCTATGAATTGCGCTTATCACGGGAATTGATCCGGTGCATTTTGGTGCTCCACATTAGCGTTGATCTTCAATTAGGAATGATCCAAGGGTGGAGATCCCTTCTTACTATAACTTCCATTCTCACCAGAACCCAACCTTATATATATATATATATATATATATATAAATATAAAAGATAAAAGCAGTACTTGGAACATATGTACAAGTTCTGCTTTGTTATGTGAATGTTTACTTTATCACGGTATTCTCTGATAAACTGTTCTGGCTTCTTGATGACGAAATTATCACGCTTAGATTTCTTCACCCTTTGCTCCAACTGCTCTTTCCTTCTATTTGCCCAGTCCTCATTGCTTTTCCTTTTCTTCAATACAATCTCTGACACATAATTTAGAGGCTTCGGTTCTTCATCAGCCATGATGGTTGAAACTACCTAATAAAATCAGAAAGCCATATAAGAGACTTCACATGTGTCACCCAATATACGATTAAGTAGAATAAGGTGTTGTTTGTTATGTAAGAGGTGCTGAATTCTGAAGTCTGAAGTCTTATTTCACTTCTAATTGATAAGGGACGATGTTGAAGTCTGAAATCTGAACCAATAAGACTGTTTGTTTTTGTAAACTGACAAACGTCTGAATGTGTATAATTGTTTATTTTATCCCTCAAAAAGATATTGACCATCAGAATAGATATTTCTAGTATTGTGATTTTCATCTATGGTACCTTAATGCAATGATACAACAAAAAATGTCAAAAATGCTCACTATCTGAAAAAGAAACTCAAGAGAAACAAACCCTTCCCCTTTATTACTCGAGTGTTTTGATAGCTCAATAGACAAAGATATATTAATAGAGAAACAAGAAACTTAATTTCTTTGAAACAAACCCAATTGATTTCATAAAAGTAACGAAACAATAGTGACAACAAGATGACAATTAAAGCAATCAACAAACTAAAACCCTACTCGAAAAGTACCAATTTAAACGTGAATTATGAAGTCAAAAAATCGAAACCTTTCATCAAAAATTCACATAAATGCCAATTACTGATCTCCAGATTTTGAAGAAAAAGATGAGAAGTGATGCAGCTCAGGTAGAATATGGAAGAGATGAACATGGAAATTTTGTCAACCGGCAATAAAAGCGATGCTGAACAAGGCCTCTTAATTACTAAAGAGGTATTACATTTTTGGACCATTCGGCCTATTTGTGAAGAGCCAAGGTTTGAAATTTTGTTAGCCACTCAGGGTTGTTCCTTGTTTGAGAATATAGTAAAAGCTCACTCAGGGTTGGTGACCTGATATAAATTGCTCTTTCTGTTTTGTCACGGTTTTGTTGATCATCGTAAAAAAAGAGCCATCCTTGTTTATAAATTGAATTCTCTTCAGAAGACAAAACCATTGCATTTGCAAGCAAACACTTCCTTTTTACCCCTCTGATTCATAAGTCAATGGATAAGCCTATGAACAGGTCCGGTTATGAGGTTTCTCATACCCATGGCGGAAAGCCAAAAAAATGCCCCCAATATATAAAAAATGGCAAACAAAACATATTACTTAAGGGGTTTAAAACCTAGTCAAGCTAGGGGACTAATCCCCTTGCCGATTTGATAAAGATGTTTCCAAGGTCTATCTTCATGAAAAATAGTAAAGTCAAAGCACCCTGTTTATTGAGACTCCTAACATACACTCTCTAACACTCGAAGTTTATGACAACACTTGTCTGCAAATACTATTGTATTGCAACATCATGTTGGTCTTCATCATTGTAATGTTTTGCTTATATCACTCTCTTATGTTAGTTTGAAACTTCTAAATTCATTTTCTCTCATGTTGGTTTTACAAGTACCAACCAATATTATAATAGAAATATGTGCAAAACAAACAACAATCAAGTGTTAAAAATTGAGCAAATGTTACTTACAATTTTGAGTAGAATACTAAAAAATTTGCCAATGTCACGCAGACGAGGTAGAACATAGAGACAATCACTTATGTGGGCAATTCAAGGATCATAACTCAAACAATTGAAACTATATATATGTATAAATAAATATATATATATATATATATATATGTATATATATATATATATATATATTCCAACAATCCTTGAGAATAATGACAGTGAGTTGGCAAATCAAGGCAAGTAGTACTTGCAAGTTGCAAATGAGAAGCAGAATTAGAACCGCACATAAAAAGGAAGTAGATTGTTTTTTCCTATTTCGGTCCTCACTCGAAGCACAGCCTCCTAATTGTGCCATTGAAACTATAGGACCATCTTGATTAGATTAACAGAAGAATGACATCCAAGGACCATAATACATGTTAAAAATCATGTAATCATACACCATAAACTCAACCAGAACTCAGAATTGAAAATACAGTAAAACCAATAATCAAATTTTTACTCTTTTATTTCCTAAATTTACAAAGATAAAATGATTAATGATATAAACCTAAAATCCTAATACTAATCAAACGTCATCTAATCACAAATCACATTGTTTTCCTTATTTCTACAAATTTTCTATTTTTACTATCACAAATCACAGTTGAAAATCTAACTATCTAACTATCTAAGCAACTAAGCAAGAAAGAACCACAGAATCAAAACACGTTTGATATTTCTACTTCTTTTTATCCTCTAAACGGTAAGCAACTATCTGAGACTTTATGAAAGAATACCTGATTAGTGATTAATAAGCAAGATCGATTTAGGAGGCAGCTTCGATTTAGGAGCACTGCAGCAGTCGACGATTTAGGGCAAGAAATCACAGACCAGCAATCGATTGTATTTCTTAGAAGAGTCCAAGTGTAGAACTGAGCGAATTAGGGCACCAATCGATTGTATTTAGGTAGCTTTTAATTTTATTTAAAAAAAAAAATAAGCCCAACATCTTTTTATCCCTTTAAAATTGTCAAGGCCCACCCAACCACAATTATGGGCTTTCACCATTACGGATTTACGGTATTTTCTTTGGGCTTTAGCCCTTTATCTTAACATCTAGATCCGTTTCGTCTAGCCCGTTAAAAAATAGATTTGGACTAGAGGTGGCCAAAAACAGGTCGGGGATCGGGCCGGGACAGGCTTAAATCTGTCTCGGTCTCAAACAGTAACAAATTGGACCGGTCATGGTCCCGTCGAAAATACTAAGGTCCGGTTAAGGGTACTTGTATAACCGGTCCCGGACGGGCCCAAACCGATCCTATATGATTATATGCTATCTATTAGCATAATTCTGGGTTTTGATAAGCTATTATCAACTGATTGTATAAGGGTGACATAATCAGGAACTAAGTATATTTTGTAATAAGAGTGACATAATCAGAAGCTGAGTACATTAGGTAATAAGGGTGACATAAATGGGAGTTGGGTATATATTTGTAATTATGGTGACATAATCAGGAGTTGGGTATATTGGGATAATGGTGGTATAACCAATTTTTGGAAATGATGATCTTTTGATCATAAGTTATTGTTATCGCATCTTTATGATGCGATAAGATTGATTTTATCGCATGTGTTTAAAAGGTGAAGGAAAGAAAAAAAAACTTCATGTTTTTGAACAGGAGAAAAAAAGAAGAAATATACCGATCTATACTATATTATAAAACATTTGATAAAAACTATTTTTTGTGCATGAAGTACTGTTTATTTATGCATATTACTTAAAAATCAAGATTACAAGTAAATTGTGTGTAAGTACAACTTATTAAAACTTCATGTTTGAATTCGTGTAACTAACTGCAGATAAACATAATCGAATAGAGGATAAATATCACATTTTAAATATAAAAATCTAAAATATAATTAGGATAATCATTGTGTTCCTAACATAATACTTAATTATTATCTTTATAAAAAATTATATTATTAAATCAAAAATAAATTACTTTGTTATCTATACTATATTATAAAGCATTTGACAAAAACTCTTAAAAACCACTTTTTATACGTAAARTACTGTTTATTAATGCACATTACTTAAAACTCAAGATTACAAGTAGATTATGCGTAAGTACAACTTATTAAAGCTTCATATCTGAATTTATATAACTAACTGCAGATAAACATAACCAAATACAGGATAAACATCTCATTTTAAATATAAAAAAAAATCTAAAATATAATTAGGATAATCATTGAATTCTAATAGAATACTTAATTATTATCTTTATAAAATTTATATTATTAAACCAAAAATAAATTATTTCGTTACTAAACTTAAATTAAATTATGATAAAAAAATAAATTAAAGAAAAATTACATAAAAAATGAAAACTTTTAAATAGTTGATTTTATATTAATTCCAAGAGCTACTCTATTTAGCAATTTTAACATTATTATCTATACTATATTATAAAGCATTTAACAAAAAACTTTTAAAAACCATTTTTTATACTTGAAGTACTGTATATTGATGCATATTACTTAAAATTCAAGATTACAAGTAAATTATGCATAAGTACAACTTATTAAAGCTCCATGTTTGAATTCGTGTAACTAACTGCGGATAAACATAATCAATAAAAGATAAACATCTCATTTTAAAATACAAAAAATCTAAAACATAATTAGGATAATTATCGAGTTATAACAAAATAATTAATTATTATCTTTATAAGAAAATTATATTATTAAACCAAATATAAACTACTTCGAACCTAAATTAAATTACAATAAAAAATATTGAAATTAAAAAGTTACACAAAAAATAAGAATTTTAAATAGTTAATTTGATATTAATATTGATATATTTTTGTCAAATTTTTATGATATCTTCAAATTTATATTTTATTTTAAAATAAAAACATTATCGCTTTAAAATCACCTAAGATCATACTATAACATCGACTGAGATAAATAATAAAATAAAATATTAAAATCAAAATGTATCTCGCTGCATTGCGCGAGTACCTTTCTAGTTAAACCTAAATTAAATCATAATAAAAAAATTGAATTAAAGAAATTACACAAAAAAAAAATTTAAATAGTTAATTTGATACTAATATCAAAATCTTATAAAATCTTCAAATTTATATTTTATTCAAAAATAAAAACATTATCGTTTTCTCAAAACTACAAAAACCGTATTATAACATCGACATGAGACAAAATAAAACGAAACATTAAAATCGAGATATATCTCACTATATTGCGCTAGTACCCTTCTAGTATTACAAATACACCCTTATTTGTTTTACAATAGAATGAGGTTGATAGGCATATATGTAATTGTATAAGTATTTTATTTCTTTCCCTTCCATTTCTTCCCGTATATGTAATTTCTTTAAAGATTTTAACCTTTGATACTATATTTAAAAAATACCTTATAACATAGTTGTTGAAGATACTCTTACGTTGTATTCACGAATTTTGAAAGAATAGATTACTAGATAGAGGTACATTATCCCACCAAAAAACTAACTATACTAGCCAATTTTTTTATTAACCTGGATATCCAACCCGTTATGCGAGTCGACTAATCCTAGGACGACCACCTGTTTTGCGGGTAGCCTGGAGTCACCGCATTTGAACCTACGTGGCCACAATAAGATTTTTATTCCTCATTGGATTTGAATCTGGACCTCAAGACACTTTTGGCCTTTGAAGCCCAAACTCAAAAACAATCAGACACCATATTTGTGGTTTATACTAGCCATTTTGGTCAAACCGTTTTACATTTTAGTCTATTAACTTGAAAAACAAAGTTTTCTGAATTAAGTATGATTCTGGTGGGATTGCATTACGATACAGACACTCTGGCTTGAGGAATATTCATTTGGCTTGCAAAATGACGCATCGAAATTATAATTTATTCATAAAAATTATATTTCTCAAGTTGTATAATAATATGGGTGTTCACGGTTCAGTTTAGTTCGGTTAGTAGGGAAAATGTATACTAAACCGCATGATGCATATACTTGTCTACCTGAACCAAAACCGAACAGTAGGTCGAACTGAACCGAACCAAAACAAGGTGGCCGTGGCTACCCACGATTCTGTTCACGATTATCTGAATTCATACAACAACTAAAAAATAATCAAAATGTCACAAATTAAAATAAGTATAATTGATTAAAAACCTTAAATTTTCTATTAATAATGTTCATTCCTTCACGACGTCAATATCATTACCACCAAATTTAATCATTCACCATGATGTTTGACACTGAAACGTAAAAGACTTTTACTCATTCAACTTACGTTAATAAATAAATAAATAATAATATGAATATTTGGTATTGAATATTATATAGGGGCCTAATCAAATGAGAACTAATTAATTTGTGTTAACCGTGAGATCCAATTTCAACCACAAATCAACGGATAAATTAGAAAATTAATAATTATGGTAGTTTGAATTAAAATTATAATTAGATGACATATTAGGTATTTTTAAAAAACTCCTCTTTCTTCTCTCATCTCTCATCTCTCATCTCTCCGACCTCCAATCTCCGGCCTCCGGTGAAATCGGTATCAGGGTATCACATTGTGTATTACAATGGGTATCACATTGTGTATCTTTGTTTTTAAGGTTTAAGTTGGTATCATAGTTGGTATTACAATGGTATCACAGTATATCATAATGAGTATCACATTGTGTATCTTTGTGATTACTTACTACCTGCCGGAAAATTGGAGGTCGGAGAGAGGAGAGAGGGGTTTTTAAAAAAATACCTAAAATGTCATCTAATTATAATTTTAACTCAAATTACCATAATTATTAATTTTCTAATTTATCCGTTAATTTGTGGTTGAGATTGGATCTCACAGTTACCCCAAACTAATCAGTTCTCCCTTGAATAGGCCCCATATTATATATACATCATATCCGGTTCGGTTCGGGTAATCACGGATACCTAAAATTCAAAACCGAAATTGAACCATGAATACACGATTTTTTCGGTTTTCGATTTTTTAATTTCCGGATTTTTCGATTTTAAGTCAAACGTTTCTCTTTGAATATTCGGTTTTTCGGTTTTTTTAACACCCTTATAAAATAGTCGTATATGAAATCTTAGACTATTTTGATTCGAGAAAAATAAGCTAAAAAATAAAGAAGTCGGTACCAGTAATTTTACTGGTCCAAAATATCACAGCAAATTAACAATTTTCCCCTTATAGAATCCCGCCGGAGATCAAATTCCGGTAAGTTGGGCGACAACTTGGCTTCCGGAGACATAATTTCGTTGCCGTCGCTGTCGTGAAAAAGACGAATTCCGATTGCATGTGCAGGTTGTCCTTTGAAAATTGGAACATAAGTGTATGGTGAATAATGGGTGGTGCAATCAATTCAAGATCGCCGGAAAAATCCAAGTGGTGGCGGACCCCATCGTTGCTCCCCACCGACACCTGCCGTCTGCCACCATCCCCTATTTGACCAATTTGGTCAGCATTGTTCCCATCTATTATTATCAGCCTCAATTCCTCATCCACAAAAAGGGATTTTATGGAAATTAGCGTTAACCAATAAGTCAAAATTAAGTCGGTTTCAAACCCTTAATTTTATTATTAATTACCATTTTTAATAATCAATTTTTAGTGAATAAATAAATAAGTTTAATTGTTTTTTACTTACGTGTCAAATAATTAATGGATGATGTTGGATTTTGTCGAATGCTCGACCGGTCGCGACATAAACAGCGTAAAGATAGTGTAGCTGAAACAACACTGATCATGAAGGGTAAGATTCTCGATCTTTGTCATCGTTCTTACTGTGGGTAAGATTCACAGCCCGTGCTATATTCATTCAGTAAGGTAAATAACCCAGTAAACATTTAAGGGGAAACGCTTAGATGGCCCCTAAGTACCCCTTTCGCGAAACCCTTCCATAT